GTGAATTAGGGTCAGCTTGCTCTTTGACAGTGAAGCCCGCAGGAGTCCGCTAGGCTGGTCTTCTTCTGACCGCCCCTTACCTTTGCAGTGAGAGCAGAGAGACAAGATTACTACCTTGTTTGCCCAAGTCCTGCCATCTCTCCTGCACCTCTCTTCTCTCCTGATGCCCTGGAGCTGTTCTTTGTGGAAGTGAAGCACTTCCCCACTGTGCCCGGCCACTGCCAGCATCCCAATTGGGAAAAATCTCTGAGCGTTGTGTGAGCCAAGCACACTGTCATTGTGTGCGGGCATTGTGGGAATCCACCAATGCCATTGAGGTGACATTGACACGTCTAGAGCCTGGAAAAGGCCTGGCCGTGAAGTGCCCCTCGGCCACCTCACCAGGGCAGGATCTGGGCCTTTTGATTTTCATAATCAGAAACCACAGTCAGGAAAAGTACTTCGTAACAGAATTTGAAACTACCAGTTTTCTTTTTCTAGGAAATGATGGTCCTTTTCTTGTTCATGGGGTGCTGGCTCACCCAGAGTGGTTAAGAGTGTGGACTCTAGTCAGGTCTGAGTTTGAATCAGAGCTCTGTCACTTACTGACCGAATGACCCTGAACAAGTTTCTACATCTGTGTGAGCCCCTTAAAGTCGTGATCGTAATGTCACTGTCTACGCCGCATTTTTGGAAGGACCAAATCGTACATTTTAAAGGGATAAATTCCAGTGCCCATTTAGGGTACTTGCTCGATAAGTGTTTGCTGTTTTCACTTTCTTCAGAAACTGGTAAGAAGTTCAGGCTTTGGATTGCGCTTACATTTCAGAATAACATCCGAAATTATCTGCCGTAGGCCTGTCACAGCACACGTGTGTGTGCAGACTCTTCCTTCCCTTACACGTGACCAAGCCACCTTTTGGGTACTGGCACAGGAAGCCCAACACTCACTGCCATCGAATCGATGCCGACTCACAGCTGTCCCGTAGGACAGGGTCCTAAAGGGTCAGGGTAGAACTGCCCCTGTGGGCTTCTGAGACTGTAGCTGTTAATGGGAAATCCTTGTCTCCTTGTCTTTCCCCCGAAAGGCAGCTGGTGGTTTCAAACTGCTGACCTTGCGTATCCCAGCCCAATGTGTAACCACTACATCACCAGGGCTCCACACAGAAAGCCCAGGATATAGTTTTCTCTATCACTCTAAGATAATTGAGAGCTGAAGTCTCCCCCATGGCTTAGATGCAGAAACTGCTGGAGAGTTAGGAATGGCTCGTGGTCTGGCAGCCCTCTGACTATGCCGGCACTTCTGTGGCACACTCAGGTGCAGCGGGACCATGCCGCCACTTCTGTGGCACACTCAGGTGCCGAGGGACCATGCCGGCACTTCTGTGGCACACTCAGCTGCAGAGGGACCACGCC